CAATAGTTTGTCACAAATAGTTTTAAATAAACGTTTTATGTGAGGAATAACTTTCTTTGTTGTGTATTTCTCCTACACTGACTGGACTAGGGGCTGAAGTGATAGAGTTCTGTGTGATGCAGGGCACCAATGAAAAAAATTGGATTCCTTATGTCCAGCATTGTCGCAATTCGGGAAACACACAATAATACACTCAGGATTGAATTGGCACTGAAGGGAGTGTGTAATAACACTGCAGGATCTGAGAGTACAGTTCACCACTGAAAGCTCACTTGCTTTGAGAGTATGGGAGGACAGAATGTAACCAGCAGAGCTAGTGACAATACCTGAGCTTGAGCCATTGTATATGGCTTGAAGTGTTGCTGGAGTAGACTTTGTTGTATTTATCCCCTTCATGACTGAGGCCTTTTTTTCATTTTTTTGCACCCATGTTATATTCCACATTTTAGGCCTGAAAATGACTTAAAACCCCCAAACATTATATATTTTCTGAATGCCAAGGCCCTATAGAATAAAATGGTGGTAGGTGCAAATTTTTATGTTGTGCAATATTAGCGCAACTCCTTATTAAACCCCAACATTTAGTGAAAAATGTAATTAAATGCCCCAAAACACAACAAAATACCCATTTTTTAAATGAAATATAAAAGATGAGGTTACAACGACTAAAACGATACCCAACATGCCCAGGTTATAAATTGCGTGCGTCCGTGAAACAGCGCAAACTGCAGTACCCCAAAAAGTCCATAGAAGACGCTTTAAAAGCCCCCACAGGTCATCAATTTAGAGATACCCCAAAATACTGGCCCTAGAATTATTGCTCTCACTCCGGCGTGCGCGGCGATACCCAACATGTGTAGCGCGTTCGTCGTTTTCATACGTAGGGGGCGGGGGACTTTTACATTTTTATTTTCCCATATTACCTGGGAAAGTGAACTTACCCTTTAACTGCCTCCGGGCGGGCCGTAGTAAAAAAACGGCTGGCCAGGAGCTCTCTAGATCTGAGCGGGCACCCCATACAAGCGATCTGCTGTAGAGCCGGCGGATCGCGTGTATGGGGTGGCGATCGGTTCAAACCCCCCCCCCCCCGCCGCCGTTGTCCCACTGATCCCGGGCTCCGCTGTGCCTGGTGCGAGCCCGGGATCAGCATGTCGCCTGTGTCACAGGGGATCAGAGGGAGCTCGGATCCCTCTCCTCTGCAAGAATGTGGAAGTGTTATATAATACATCACTTCTTGTGTCACTCTCCAGCTTCAGAAAGAAGCTGATGGAGCAGATCTCTGCTTCATCAGCTTCTTTTGGGGGGTCCTAGGTGACATTAGGGGTCTTGGAGACCCCTGATGTATCCATAAAGAGGACCGGTCACATATTTTGCTATCACATAGGGGGGGTTTTATTAGCCCCCGTATGTGATAGCAATAAAGTTTAGTGAAATAAAAATGTAAGTTCCCCCCCAAAAAAAAATTCAAGTTACACATAAAAAAGAATAAAAAAACTAAAAAATGTTTAAAAGTCCCCACCCATACATACACGCATGCAAACATGCATCATGGGCGCATACGTGCAAAAAAGACGATTGCGCCCATTGCGCCGCACATGTTACATATCGCCGCAAACGTCAGAGTGAGAGCAATAAGTCTAGGGCCATCAATCACTGATAACACTAAACTGATGAGCGGTAAAAGCTTTTAAAATGTCTCCTATGGCCAATTTTGGATATGGTAGTTTTCTGCGATTTCTGCGATTTCACGGGTGCACGCAATTTTAAAGCATGGCATGTTTGGTGTCTATTTACCCGACGTGACCCGGTCTTTTATATTTTACCAAAAAACTGGGTAATAATAAATGTTTCCTAACATAATGTAAAAAAAAAATTCTGTAATTTTATATTATAGTAAAAAATAAAAACCCGTAGTGGTGATTAAATACCACCAAAAGAAAGCTCTATCTGTCCCCAAAAAATTGTATAAAATTCATTTCAGTACAGCGTTGCATGACGGAATAAACGTCAGTCAAAGTACCGCAGCGCTGAATACTGACAGGTTCTCTTTATGGAACCTGCCCTCCAACACAGAACAGATGTTCTGTGCAGTTCCTGACAGCCGAGACAGGTGGCGCTGTGATTACAGTGCCGTGGTCTCAGAGATCACACAGAGCAGACGAGGAACGGACATTCTTCATCTGCTCTACGGGCTCTATGGCTGAGCCGTTGTGCCGTGGTCTCGGGTCCCCCAGAAGAGCAGGGGACCCCGAAAACCACGGCAGCGGGTGCGGGCAGACACGATCGTCGCTGCTCGATTAATACAAGTGATCTGAACAGATCACTTGTATTAAACAAACGGCGGCTCCACGCTGTGCATTTAGCTCTGCTTGTCCGGAGCAGGGCTAAATGTACAAAAAAACTACTCGCCCGGCGCCCGAAACTGCCTGTCCCTGGCGTCGAGCTATAGGAATTCCACACCCCTGCAAAACCATATTGAGCCGTGCTAAGAAGTGGTTCTCATTGTTCAGGGCGGTCAGGTGATCACGCTGGCCAATGAGTGCTTGCAATTTGTGACCGAAATTCAAAATCCGTAGCACAGGGCTGCATTGGATGGCAGTATGGGGTACAGATAGTACACCCGTACCAGTGGAGGGGAAGGACCATTCGCTGAAAGGGAAGTATAGCCCGGGAGAGAGGGCCAACATTTGAGCGGGTAATTCCTTTTTCCCAACATTACACACATTTGCATGCAAGATGGTGATGGGGTTGGGTTTTAATTTTTGTTGTTTAATTATTTTTAATTATTATTTTTTTAATTATTTTTACTTTATCACTTTTTTCATTTATTTTTTTTCCTTTGTAAATTTTGATTTATTTTTTTAACTTTATTGCTATCACATACCTGTAGCTCCTCCCACTGGACCAGCGCTGACTCGCCGCTGCGGGTTTTTTTTCTTACTTACCTTGCCGAGCATCGCATCACTGCTGCTCCGGTGGGCGGCACTCCAAGCGGGGTCATCTGGCAGTCTCCGGCCACCTGAATTAGGACCCCACCTGGAGCTCCGCCCACCGGAGCAGCAGTGACACTCGGCGAGGTAAGTAAGATTTTTTAAAAAAACACAGCGCCAGCTTCGGCGCTAGGCATCGGGGCATTTTGACAAGTACAAGTACTTGTCAAAATGCCCTGTATCGGGCCCGATTCCGATGCTAGCATCGGTATCGGGACATCCCTAACACAGGGGCTAACAATTTGGAGGTGACAGGTTCTCTTCATGGAGCCTGCCCTCCAATACAGGAGATCGAGCATAGCACTGTGCTTGATCTCCTGTGCAGCTGACACAAGAAGCGCTCTGAGTACTGCAGGTGAGGGCAAGCAGGAGGCATACAAATGATCTGGACAGCTGCCCTGGTCACTTGTACAAGACAGCTCCCCTGCTCTACATTTAGCCCTGCTGCTTGTCCGTAGCAGGGCTAAATGTAGAAAAATACCTTCTACCCAGTGCCCGAAACCAGTGGCGTAACAACCGGGGGGCAGCAGGGGCGCGGGCGAAAAGTGAAGGGGGGGCGCCGGCCGAAAATGGCACTTTCGGCTAAATGCCGAAAGTGACATTTTCCTGCCGTTTTGTCGGCGCGGCCGTGATTCCTTTCATCCCCGCTGGGACACAGAGCAGTGCCCAGCAGGGATGAAAGGAATCAGAGAGAAAATGACAGCCGGCCGGGGGGGGCGGAAAAAAAAAATTCTGCCCCGGGCGCCCAGAACTCTGGTTACGCCACTGCCCGAAACTGCATGTCCATGGTGTCTGGGGATAGGAATTCCAAACTGCCTTCTCTATGTTCAGTTGCTTGAAGCTCAAAAAAGTCCCTGTGCATTTGTTGGAGCTTTGTCGCGCACTTTTTGGCCCCATAGGATTCAAACGCCTGAAAACGGGCAACACAAGCGTTTGAGCATTTTTGTGCCTGAGGGCCTGTTCACACCATGTCCGGACAAAATCCAGACCAGAATGTTTTTTTTTTTGTTTGGTCCAAAAATGCATCCTGCAAGTGAAGCTAGCTCACACCACTGAGTTCAGTTCCAGAATGTTTAAAACAAATACTGCATATATTTTCTCTGGTTTGGAACGCACCAAAATACATGCAAATGCACTAGAACACACTGGAATGCATCAAAAAGGCACATGACTGCATTTGCAAAACGCATACAGATCTGGTCTGGAGATGGTGTGAAGAAGCCGCGAAGAACTGTTCTCCTCAAGAACTGCTTTCCATCAGCCAAAACACAAAACTTGATACACATGCAAAAACACTTGTACAAAGTCTTTGGTTTTGCATGTAAAAGAATTTTTAAAAAAAACCACTTAAAAATCACCTGATAAATGCTCCACTCAGATGTAAGGCCTGGTTCACACCTGTGTGTTCCGAGAACCCACGGTAATTTGCACTTTTTCCATGCACAACCGGCGAACGTTCGCAGAAGCGTGCACAAATGCAAAACGCACATGCGGTGCCATTGATTTCTAATGGCACCTCAAATGCTACCGGCAAGTTGCGGGGGTTTCCACATGCCAATACGTCACATAAAATAGTGCAGTAGCCTTGCTGTGCGTATATGACCCCTGTAAAATCAATTGGACCACGCAGCAAATGTGCGTTCCCAGGATGCGCAGGCCTCATGTAGGCGCCTATGAATAAACAGGTAATATAGCTGGCTCAAAATAAGAAGGGGAGAATATATATATATATATATATCTATATATATATATATATATATATATATATATATATATATATATCTATATAGATATATATATATATATCTATATATAT